TTTTTTTTTTTTTTTTTAATACTTTTTTGGCAGCCAGCAAAACTTTGTGCTTTGTAGATTGCCTAAGTTAGGGTCCCTTGGCAGTGGTACAAGACAAGAAGATGTTTATAGCTGATGGTAATTACTCTTCCTGCAGTACAAACGCTTAGAAGCCCCACTAAACGTTCATGTCTTAATTGCACAGGGTTTATTTGAAGGGGGGAAAAAAATCCCACAACGCTTTTCTCCCTCCTTTCCCCCCACTCCTCACTCCTTAATATAATTTAAGGAAAGGAAGTTTCTGAAGTATGTGAAAGTTTCTGTGCTCCGGTATAAAATTCTGATTTTTTTTTTTTCTACCTTTATTCATTTGCTGGAGAAAGTTTCAGACTTTCAACTTGATCAAAGCTATGAAATCTTGGCCAAAAAAAAGCAGATTATCTGCCGCTTGCACACGAGGTCGACTTTGAATATGGGGGAAGAAAACCTGCACACGCACAAAAGCCCTGCCTGTTTTGGTGTGAGCAAAAGAGGAAAATCAAATAAAAATCCAACGGGGCTGCTCTCATCCGTTTGGGAATAACAAAAGGTGCATATGGGGAAGAGGAAAAGGGTTTGCATGATGCTTTTAGGTGGCTTCCACCTGCCTTCCCTACCCCGGCAAAACCACAGCAAACACTGGCCCAGCTTCCCCGCTGTTGTTATTCCCCGATGCAAATGGGAAGAGTCTGTGGCCGGGATTGGCTGCAGGCAGCACATGCAAATCACTCAAATAATAAAAAATTATCTCCTTTTTTACCTTTTTCGGTTTTGCCCCCCCCGCCCCCCTCCTCTCCCGCAAAACGAGTCGAGAAACAGTTAAAATTCCCGTGGAAAAGGAAAAGCTGAGGGGTGTCCATCTGAATTTGGATGGATATCTCCCCTTCTCCCACCTCTGTGTTCTTGGCCTCTTTTAAGGAGGGGATGAGCAGCCAGGTGTGGAGTTGACCATTCCCACCTTTTCTTGCAGCTGTCCCCGAAGGAGAAAGTGGCCCCGGCTGTGGTGGCAGTCATCACTTCAAGGGTAAATGACAAATTTCTTGGCCTGGGTGAGGTTGTGGGGGGAATGCAGGGGACAAGATTTTGGGGCAAGGCAGGTCTTGGGTGGCTTTTGAGGGCGGTGGACACCTGCAAGTGACAGAAAAGAGGAGAAATAAAGTGCAGAGGGAGGCAGTGGGGAAAACAAGCTGGGTTTGAGCCATCTTGAAGGCCAAGGGAAGGGTTTGGGAGGAAGCTGGAGGGATCCCCATCTCTGCAGGTGTGTGTCACAGCCAGACCACCACAGCAGGTTTGGGAAGCCTGAGCAGGGCTGGGGAGCTGAATCCACCCCTTTATCCCGTGGGTGAGGAGGGATGAGAAGGGTGAAAACCCCACAGCAAACTGGGGAGGGGGGACAGGAGTGAGGGGGGGCTGCAAAGAGCAACAGGAGGGAAAGTGCATCCTCAGAGCTGATGAATATTCCAGCGCCTGGATGTTGAGGAATCAGAAATTTGAAAGTCTGATGGTTTATTATAATTACACACATTCATTTGTGCTGTTTAGTGGAAGCCACATGTGCCTGTTGCCTGGGACTGTGACCTGTTATTAAAATCAGTTGTGCCTCCTTTCCCAGAGATCAAGATGAGCGGGGATGCGGCAGATTCCACAGACACCCGGCACGAACCTGACCAGGTGGAGCCAGGTAAGGAGGGTCTGGGGTGGCAGGGGCAGGAGACAGAGGGGAAAGAAAAGAAAAAGGGAAAAAAAAATAGAAAAAAAGAGGGAATGTGGGCGCTGGAAGTTTCTCCCCGTGCTTTTTCTGGGCTCCTGTTGCTGCTCTTGCAGCCTGGGAGTTGATCAGGAATGTGCTCTGGGCTAGGATTGCGTTGGTATCTCGATCAGCGATGCAAGATCCCTCCTGTGTGACTGCAGCAAATCCCAGAGTGCCTCCCCAGTGTCCTCAGCAGGTCTGACATGGAAATTCGCTCACAGAGTGCCTCCCTAATCTCCTCAGTGGCTCTGACATAGAAATTCTCTCACAGAGTGCCTCCCCAGTTTCCTAAGTGGGTTTGATATAGAAATTAATTCAAAGAGTGCCTCCCCAGTTTCCTCAGTGGGTTTGACGTGGAAATTTGCTCACAGAGTGCCTCCCCAGTGTCCTCAGCCAATGTCCTCAGTGGGTTTGACATGGAAATTTTCTCAGAGTGCCTCCCCAATGTCCTCAGTAGATTTGATATAGAAATTAATTCAAAGAGTGCCTCCCCAGTTTCCTCAGTGGGTTTGACGTGGAAATTCTCTCACTGAGTGCCTCCCCAATGTCCTCAGCCCAATGTCCTCAGTGGGTTTGACATGGAAATTTGCTCACAGGGTGCCTCCCCAATATCCTCAGTGGGTTTGATATAGAAATTCACTCAGAGTGCCTCCCCAGTGTCCTCAGTGGGTCTGACGTGGAAATTCACTCACAGAGTGTCTCCCCAGTGTCCTCAGTGGGTTTGATGTGGAATTTTCTCACAGAGTGTCTCCCCAGTGTCCCTCAGTGGATTTGATACAGAAATTCTCTCACAGAGTGCCTCCCCAGTGTCCTCAGTGGGTCTGACGTGGAAATTTGCTCCCACCTCTGCCACACCAGTAATGGCTTTGGAACAGTCCTGGTGCACCCAGCTTAGCTCTGTATCCACAGGCCTTGTGCAAGGAGCTTTTCCTTAGGGAAAACAGCTTTTTTTGGGGGCTCTTTCTGTGTGGTGAGAGAAAAATGGGAATAATGAAATCCAGCTCAGAACTTCCAGAAAAAGCAGACGGAGAGGCGTGATCGGGTTTCTCACCTCACACCTGACTTTGTGCAGGCTCCAGCTCCTCCACGGAGCCCCCAGATTCCCGGGATGTGGGAAACTGAGGCACAGGGTGATCCTTTGAAGATGCCAGTGACGGCGTGAGCACTGATTTCTGCCAGGTTTGCCCACCACCAGGTGGAACAGGCACCCGAAAAATCAGGTTTGTGCTTTCGGGCTGCCTGAAGTGAGATTTGAATACGAAGCCCGAGCCCTGTAATTTCCCAAAGGGCCGTGGTCACATCCCTTTTTAGGCAAATGAGCAACAACAAGAAATCATTTTAGCACCCACTAGGTACAGCAAATTGAGATTGTTAAAAGCTGTGCTGCAGCTCAGAAATCAACACATTTCGAAACAAAAACTGGTGGAGAAAACGTAGAGGAATCAAATATTCTCTGAGAAATGAAGAGCCCTAAGCTTGGGCCAAGGGGATGTGCAAGAGCAGGTGAAAACCTCGCATGGGATGGTTTTCCTCTTATAAAATTTGAGATCATTTAGGGGGGAAAAAAAGAGATTTTGGGTAAGCAAGAGAACTCCAGGTTTTAAAGGGACTAACCCCACCCCTTGCCTGTTAACTGGGATATTTGACAAAATCTAAAATAGAGATAAAATCTGGTTCTGTTCACATCCATGGACTCCGATTGACTTTGGCCAGCTCAGCTCCTGCTCTCAAATCACCCCAAAATTGGGATTTGGGATAAACGAGCACCGAACACATCCCAAAATCCCCAAACTCCTCCAAAAAACCCCGAGAGCTTTACAGGGCCTTAAACTGAGAACTGGAATATTTGGCACTCA